GGATGTTCTCGGACGCTAAGTGTGAAAAACGCCCATCTCTGGGTTTTCAAAAATTTTAAAAGTTTAATAATAATCAAATGGTCATAAAAATAGTAATGCAATTAGATTAATAGAGTTAGGATAGTTACAAGACAATAAAAAACAAAGAATTACGGATGTCCGGATGCTCTCGGATGCTAAGTGTGAAAAACGCCAATCACTTGGTTTTAAAAAATTTAAAAACTTTCATAATTATAAGATGGTTATAAAAATAGTAATACAATTAGAGTAATAAAGTTTAGAGTTAGGACAATTACAAGACAATAAAAGGCAAAGAATCCCGATACTCTCGGGCACTTACACCCTGACAAGCATGTTTTGTGAGCAAAGGAATAACCCTTAAAAACCATACACTGTTGCATATTCATACATACATCATGGTTATACATACATTCTATTTAAAATAAGAAACTCTGTCTGGAATATGTCAATTCCTTCTTTTAATCCCAACGGCCTCTTCGAGTCTGAGCAAGGCCTGAAGAAATTAATTTCTTCTGATAAGAAGCCATAAATTCCTCTCCTTTGGAAGATTTAGGTGGTCCTCAAAGCGAGTATCTCATTCCTAAAAAAAGAAAAAAACTTACCCCCCACATACAGAGTCTTTATTTTTTTTTTTAAACTACTAAAGTCTTCATTTTAACTACAAAAGCACAACTAATCAATATAACATAATACATAAAGTAACTATGTGTAGAGCCATATAAAATGCATTTTTCACATCAGCGAGGAAAAGCCACATCCAGCAGCTGAGGCTTCCCCCAGTAACGCTAGATGGTACCAGAGCTCCACACAGGCTCAGCCAGGACTCAAAAATAAAAGAAATAAAACAAAAAAACCCCAAAAAAACCATGGGAATTCTGAACCAGCTGCGATGTCCTGACCTGCTGCTGGCACAGGGAATCCAGTTTTCGAAGGGGAAAAGCCGACGGGAGAATAAAATAAAGATATTTCCCCGTGTTCAGGGCTACAAGTGCGATGTGTTTGTGGTTAAAGTCGCTCAGCAGAGTGATGGGGTTACAGCACCTGGGAGAAAAAGTTTGAGGACAGATTCTGAGGGAATTTTTCACTAATAGGAATCAGTTAAAGAAAATCTAAGAAGGATTTTAACTGGAGCAGAACCTGCCCACGGCAGGGCATTGAAACTGGATGGTCTTTAAAGTCCCTTCCAACCCAAACCGTTCTGGAATTCTATTCCATGGTTACATCTTAAAAATGAAGTGCCCTGATACCTTTAATTCCTGCTATCCTTAATATTTTAATATTATTAAACAGCACTCAGAACACGATCACCTTTTTCCTTCAAGCAACTGCGCACCCTGCCTGAAATATTCATGCATTCAAAAAAAAAAAAAAATCCCTCTTCCTGCAAATGAATATTTATTCCATGAATAATCTTGAATGTCTTTGTGGCTTTCAACACATTTGGGCAAAATGTTTCAAGTTTCTCTGCTTACAATGACAAAGTCTAAACCCGACACCTAAAGAGGTGGCCTGATTTCAGCTCTGTGGGGCATTTTCTAGAGACATAATTTCCTCCCCCTTGCTGCCTCCTTAGCACTACACGGTTTTAGCAACCTTGAGGAACTCAGCGCAGCAATTTGGGGGATGAAATGAAGTATGGAGATAGCAGGGAGAAATAACAACAGCAGAGCTGGCCCTTGGCCAGAAGACTTTTCTCTAAAACTCTGCTCTCATGCAGAAATTCCTGATTCTCTGCCCGTGGCAGGGCGTTGGGACTGGATGAGTTTTAGGGCTCCTTCCAACCCAAAGCATCCTGTGATTCCATGATTTTGTGAAGTCCTGGGAGATGATCTTATGGCTAAATATGGTCAGGACTTGAGTGCTGTGCCTTGTCCAAGACGCAGTGACATGGGTGGTTCCTCTTTCCAGATGAAGAGTTGGCGGCAGCAGCTTATTTTTAGTGGTGTGGGTGTAAAATATTGAATTTCGCGTCGCCTGAGCTCGGTCTGCTCTGCCCTGGTGGGTTTTGTGCCCAGATCCAGCCAAGCTCGAGGTCTGGGACTGACATCATGGAATCAGAAGAAGCTGGAAGGGACCTTAAAGCTCATCCAGTTCCAATTTTAGGCACCTTCCACTGTCCCAGGTCGCTCCAAGCCCTGTCCAGCGTGGCCTTGGACACCGCCAGGGATCCAGGGGCAGCCACAGCTTCTCTGGAATCTGTGCCAGAAACATCTCAAAGCACAGCTAGAAATGCAAACAGATTGATGTGTTTGACAGGTGATTCTCACATCCCTCCTTCCAGGAGACTCTGCAGCTGTTGGGACATCACCTGGACACTTCAGCTCCCTGGCAATGAGCAGCTGAGCGCCAGAGGAGTGGGATTCTACCCTCCAGCTCC